AAGAAGAAAGAAAAAAGAAAAGGAGAAAGAACAGCGCCTTGAGGGACACCAGCTTCAGTAGGCAATGAAGTGGAAGACTTCCCTTTATATACGGTGTACTGCATTCTATCTGAGAAATAGGAATGTAACCAGTTAACAGCCCAACACTCTGTTTGACTAGCAGCAAGTTTATTTAATAAGATGTCCCTAGGGACCGAGTCGAAAGCAGATGTATAATCTAGGAAGGCACAACGAACAAATTTAGCCTTCTTGTCTAGACTGGAAGCAATGTTATGATATAAGAAGGAAGCTGCATCTACTGTGCTTATAGGCAAATTGTTTAGGGTCATTAAGGGATTTAAGCGAAGGTACAAGACTAAGTAAAAGTAATTTCTCATAATTTTCAAAAAAGGAGAGGTAATAGCAATGGGTCTAAATTTGACACATGCTCCAGTATATGATTTAAGTATGGGTACAATTTTAATGTCCTTCCAAACGGCAGGCACAATATTATCGGAAAAAGATTTGTTAAATAGAGCAGTAAGAGGGTGACACAGAATATCAGAACATTTTTTAAAAATAATACTAGGTACATAATCGGGACCTAAGCTCTGGGAAGGGTTTAGAGACTTGAGGCACTTTTCAACATCATTTGTGTTAAAACCTGGAAATGGGCTATTGTTAACACAAGTGATGCTGGGAAGCATGGCATTTGAGGGAGAGTAAATAAAAGATTTGTTAAGAGTACATACATCAAAAGAATATGGAATATTGTTTATCTGCTTACCACCAGTGATTTCCTTAAATAGTTTCCACATATTAGAAGGATTTTTGCAGGATATGAATTTATGGTTATATATTACATTCAACCTCTGCATTTCAGACTTAATTAAGAAGTTAGTTCTTTTTACACCACTTTTATCTTTCATCTTATACAGTTTTTCCTTCTCTCTACGAAGCTTTTTAAGTTGAGGCGAGGAGAAACGGTCAAATTTGACGAATAGTGTTTCTTTTGGACAGCAAATTTCAAAACAGAATTTCAGATAGGATGTAATATTAGAGATATTGTCATCAAGTGAATCATCATTAAACAGATCCCATCTTGCGTCACTGAGCATGTTTCTAAGATGATGTACGTTCTCATTTGAGTAACATCTGTGAACAACTTTCTTAGACAAGTTTGAGAAGGCCTTGCTGTGTAACTTTCCGTAAATTATGGGTAAGACTCGTACAATACAGTGATCAGAATTGAAGAGCGGAGCTCTTTTACGAGCTTCGTATATTCCAGAATCATTTATAAATACTAAATCAAGTGAAGTATTTTGTCGAGTTGGGAAATTAACAACATTTTAATGGCCCAGCAATTTAATAAAACTGCAGTCGCTGGAGTTGAAGTCGCCAGTCACTATAGATTAGGAGTTACCAAACGAAGCAGCAGCAAAAATAGTGAATTCATCAGCGAAGATCGATAGTTCTGAGGGACTGCAACAAAGTGTGATATAGATATTTGTGACAAAAATGAAGCTATACTTAGGTAAGTGTTTAGGTCGACATTTTACAGTTTTAGAGGTTGACGGTATAGACGTTCGCGCACAGTACTGGGTATATTAACGCAAGCTCTAATACCAACAATCTCTGACGTATTTGTATCTCGTGTACCAAAGACAAAGCAAAAGACAGTATGTGATCGTCCAAATTACGCGATATATTTCGGGACCAAAACGAGTTGTTAGACGAACGCTTAGCTGGCTAGTGATCGTGCACCAACGTGACGCGACGGAGTACTAAATGGCGGGGATGTTTGACTGAAAGCCTTCAGCTAAACAAGTCGACTTAAACTCTAAAGATCAGCATCCAATGTTCACTGATGATTCCTATGGTCAATAATTTTGCGAAATTATTTACCGCTACATAGTTATACAATCAATATTGCAATTTGAGAATTTGAAGCAGACGTTGTTAGCAGTAGACCACCGAGAATTAATCAAAGTGGCAACACCACCACCTCTCTTCTTCTTTGAGCTGCATCGCTCTTGTCTGTACATTGTGAAACCACTTAAGGAGACTAAATTATCGTCATATGAGTCGTTGAGCCAAGTTTCTTGAAGAGTGATTACACCAGTATTACAATATACATTTGAGTATAATAGAGAATGCAAGTAATTAATCTTGTTCGGTAGAGACCTGCAATTTGTGCTCATAATCACAAGAACAGTCATCTGATGCACTGGAGTGGACTTTAAAGACCTTTGCCACCCACCATGATGCTTTTTCTATCTGATCTACCCTAAGAGGAATCTGTATACTAAACTAATATTTGGTGAAAGTTTATGCATTCAGCAGCTGAGATTTTCGTACACTTGTAAATGCAATCAGCACATAAACTATTTATTACTGGTGATTTACAATTTGCAGATCTTAAAACCATATTGATTTTATGATAAATAATTGAATGTCGAATAATCCGATCCACACAGTTTATTTTCATAGTTTTTATAGTCTTTAACAGAAGGTATTTTCATTTGAAACAAGACACTTCTCCTTGTTATTGCTTCCACGAAGTGAATATGAAGAATTTAAATGTCATTCTTAATTGGTATCCCGATTGACTCTCAATATAAACATAAAACTTGGGCATGGTGGTAGAGCATAACTCCATTATGGATAAGATTTTATTTGATAAATCACACAGTGTTGTGCAGTAATAGTAAATGACGACGTTTCGATTCCACATATGTATATAAATGAAGGAAAAAGTTGTGTGAGTAACTTGATAGGATTCTGAGCAATAGTTTGTGCTTGAAACGTCATCAGTTAATATCACTGTACAACACTGTGTGATTTATCAGATAAAATCTTATCCATAATGAAGTTATGACTCTAAATATCTGTACTCCTATTTTCAACGTTAATGTTAATGATACAGGAACTTCGTGTTTCACTGAAGGCATATTCAACAGGCCACTACATCGAATTTCATCAACAGCCGAATTTTCTCAATGCTGAAGATCGGATGACCGGGGAGTGCAGGTAACAAATGGAAATGGGAATAACATATGGAAACAGGAAATGGAGACGGGTTGAACATGAGCTGAGGAGAAATTCAGTAGACATCACACCCCAGGCCTTCAAATGTTGCCTGAATGGGCGGAGACTAGTGAGGCGTTTGAGGTTGATATGCAGAAGATAATGTGAGGAAGAAATGAAAACTTTTAGGCAGCTGGAAAGCCAGTTGGAAATAATGGTATGGAGATGTGCTCCTGGAGTTGTATGTTTCACTTGGAATGCAAGGAATTCATGAGACTATTTTAACCATATTAACTTGATCTGACGTTACCGATTGACAGAGAAGCAGTTATGCATAGGCTTTTTGTGAAAACAAAACTTATCATTGTGTGTAAACTACTGAAATATAATTATACTTTATTTATGTGAAAAGACCCAGTTTAATTCTCATTTTTAGAACTAAATAAATAATAGTGTAGGTTAAGTTTGTAATTATTTATACTATTACCAATCACAACCGAGTTTCATGAACTGAATTTAACCCTGTACCTCGATATCTTGCTTTTCAGCTACAGATTATCGACAGCAATGTACTCAGTTACACCAGGAATGAATTCCGATATGAGGAAATCATTAGTGCACTTGCGTTTGCATAGTGGAAAAATTAACTTTATATACTCCTTGATATTAGTCATTATTCAGTAGTCGCTCGTGCTGAGAAATCTCTACCTTCTTCTTCTTATTGTTCATCCCTTTACACTCTGTACTGTATGAATATCATATCTGTTGTGAGGATCAACCTGCATTTATAATCATAGGAAACATTTACATACAGACAGGTTAAATGTACTAAAACAAACATTCATTGACACAAGTTTCAGACAATTTCGAAACTTACCTCGACGTTGTCTGTTACATAAAACTGCCTAATTCCCCATAATCTCGACAGGAAACGACCTGAATTTTAGGGGTGTTGTAGAAGCTTAGTGCTGTAACATATTTTCATACCAACGAGGGAGGTAGTCACATTGTATTCACATTGTGTACTACTTACTACTTGTATACTATTTACAAGCAGACGTAAGTAGTATATAGGGTGATATCTTCAGCAAGGCAATAATAATAGTTCGCCTCAGTGAAAAAGCTACCGAATAATAAACGCAGAAAGAAAGTAAAAAAGCTGAGAAGAATCTAATATGCAACGGATAACTATAAATAAAACAAATATAATACGGAATGAATAGTATCACCTGCCAATTGTGAAGTCAACGTAAGATTTATGACTTTCTTGATGTTCTTTGTACTTTGTCCCATTCAACTGTAGTTCTCTCCTCACCAGAATTGTTCCTGGTCAACAAGTTTTGAAAGGTCGTTTATTAGTTCGATATTTCTTTTAGTTAGTTAATCATGTATAAGCATACTGATGAAGATTGTCTTGAAATGAATTTAGTTGGGCGATGTCACGTTGATCGGATTGCATAAACAATATTACGACTTTCAGTTCTTTAGACAATTGAATCAAACGATTCGAGTAATGAAAAGTAATGAGATCTGGTCAAAACGTGTAAGGCCACTGTTTTAAAACATTTGACCACTGAAAGAATGTCGCTACACATCAGTCTTGACAACATCAATCACATCTTCATAATTAGCAATTTACCAACCACTTCAGTTAATAACAGTTAGTTGACATAATTCGGTACACATTATAGTGCATTCTCAGAATGCTACTTAGGTTTTGATTACGTTATACACTAAACAGCTCTCCAGAAGATCATTTTCACTGAAGAAAACCTGCCAATTCAGTATATGAAATAACCAGATACTAACTAACTAACATTCAGTGACAAAAGTGAGTGCTCAAATACTGAGAACTAGTCTTAAAAATATAGCCGGTTAATGAAATATGTAAGAAATACGTTTATACTGATATATTCTGGCTAATACAAAAATGAATAACTCAAATTTTCACTCTATCCATCCCATTAGGTAACAATGATTACTTATCATCTCCAATGAGTGTCTTTCTACTACTCACCACACTTCTTGGTTCAGGAGGAACCAAGGGTAATACAAAGTTGCAAATAGCTGGAGCTGTTGGAGTCTACGAAGAAAGAGGAAAACAGAAGGCCGCGTCAAGGATATTCAATTCAATATACAAGAATTTGACAGACGAAAAAGCTAGTGGAGCGAATATCATCACTATAGGAAACGGAATGTTTGTAAAGGACGGAGCTAAATTGAAGAAAACGTTTGTAACGACAATGAAAAGAGATTTCTACAGTGAAGTTGCTAATGTATGTAGATTTCTGAGTTGTTACAATGTTTTTTTTTCCAAGTTTGAAACTTTCGAAAATCCTGTAGTTGTTCATATGACTGACTGATCTATTTTCGTGTTAAGCATATTTTTTCCCTTTGACGGTGACTTACATATATATGAATACATTTGTAAAGCAGGAATTTGGAAGGCCTGTCATATATCTGCCTCACAAATGTATACTGAGCTGTGTAAAATTAATGGTACGGAAATTGCACCAAGGATTTGTCACTAGTGACAACCTTTCAAATAATATAGAACCGTGTGTATTGAGCTTTCATTACAAATCTATCCAAGAAGTCTGCGAAGTTCCTTTATAGAAACGAAAATAATTATTTCACTCGTATCTGTCCCTTCGTACCATAGGGATGTTTTCTTACAGCCAATAGATTATCTAAACCACATTTAAAACTGTATGAAACGGCAAATCAACTTATGTTTTATATAACTTGAAGACTAAATTCATCTGATTTAAGTTTTTAGCTGAAAAACCGTTTTCTAAAGAAACAGAACTTCTTGAACAAATCTTTAGAATTCTAGTTATATGAGAGTCAAGGAAAGCAGTAGTTTACTGATAGCATCTAGAGACAAAGAGTTATGTCACTGGCTCTTACTCTGTGTATTATTCCTAACATATTCACACGTAAGGCTGTTGCGTATTGTAAACGCAATTTGAAGTTACGCGTGTACAGGTATCAGACATGTTTATTCACACTGTACAGATGTAAAAGAATTTTAGTGATCACAATAGTTGACGCTCAGTCATTATTGTGTATTGTAAGTTACAAGTGAAGTTCATTGCTTATTACTCAGGATTTTGTGCTAAGCTACACATTAATATATATTAGGGAGTAATGTATCACATTAGCTAAACAGGCATTGTGAAATGATGCGAGCAGTGTCGTGAGTCGTACACCATAAAACGTTTTCGTAGGTTTAATCGTACACAACTAAAACTTCCTGAAATGACAATTAATAAATTAAACGTCTGAATTTCAATCTCAGGTGGATTTCACTGCTCAAGAAGGTACTAGGAAAATTATCAATGCATGGGTTAGCAATAAAACAAATAAACTGATCCCTGAACTTTTCACAAAACCATTATCGACAGAGACTATTCTCGCTCTGATCAACACGCTGTATTTCAAAGGTGAGTTATTTATGTCCTTACATTAATGTTCACGTTTTTTAATATAAAATTCTTTGTTATTTTGTAGCATTGATTTTAATTCCTTATATGTGAAGCCTTAATGTTAGATGACTGAAGGCAATTGGCAGGAAGCCTTGAACCTAGGTCCCTTCTGAGATTCGATGCATTTGTATCTGAAGTCACGTGTAATTAATCCGAAATTGATTGTGTACTTCAACACACTGGAATACAAATGCATTGCAATGAATAGCAGCCACGTCAAAATAACCTAACAGTGACGTTGAACAATCAGTCAGAATCCAGATACGAAAAGGTTGCGAAATCGTTAAAAATGTATTAGAAAGTATTGCAAACATGATTTCACATTGGATAGTTGTGTCTTCTGTCTTGTTAGAATGCTTCCCAGTTTTTTCAAGGATGATCTATAGAGAAATCATATCATAAGCGAAACATGCACTCATTTAAGTGACTGTAGTTCGTGGTACTCTGACAGCCATCGTTATTTCCGACTATATTCTTTAATCTATCTCGAAATCCTTCGATGGAGTGTGTGTACATGCACGTAATTGCGTCCAAGAAATTGAAGAAGCGGTTAACAGGTTAGTAAATATAACCCAAAAAGACATTCCGTTATATTCCTGCTACTCGTCCGTATATATGTTTGCTACTAGTCTTTGCAAAATCCAATAGTGCATAAGGCATAAGACATCCGACAGAAACAACTTAGATTTACAGAAAAAGTACCTATGGAATAAGTAAAATACTGCATCTATAGGTACAGTTCGTTAGGGTATGCCGTAGTAACACCAATCAATCCATCAATTCACACAGTAATCAATCTTTATCGGACTCATTCGGTAAATCGATGAAGGCGATTTTGATTTGATTTTAACTAACTATTCGTAAGGTTCCTACTGTCTGATAAGTTGTTCATGATCGGGTTTTGATAATCACTGGCTGTGGATGATTGAATTCACGTCAATAAGTGCATAAATCTGTACAAAACCTCATCATTCGTCTTTTCAGTTTGTGAATAAGCCTGAAACTAACTTAAAACTACCCTTACCACTAATAAAGCGTATAACAGAGATTCATTTAACAGTAGCAACACAGGGTCAATAAACTTAATAGTCGCACTATTCACCTAATAATTAGATATCAGTTAACGAAAAAGGCCAAACAGTGTAACTGGTTACACCAGACGGCCGTTTAAGCATGTATGTAATTTAGACTCACAGAACGTAACTTGTAGGCTGAATGGCCTAGCTGGTTAGAACCATACTCAGAGTTCCAAAAGGTACGAAACTTCGATCAATGGCAGGCATCCTAGTGAGCTATTTCTTTCAACATTTAATTTTTTTTAAAAGGTATGCTCTATCATATGGAATATTTAATCAACTTATCAAAGTGCTATTTTACATAGTAATGATAACGTCATTTTAAAATCAATAACTAAGTGGTATATGCATGTAACAAAAATCCTCTGCTAAGCAAAAGCTGATCACATACATTTCGGAAAGAACCTACATATCTGGTTGTAGTCTTAAGGTTACCTAAACTTGATAAAAATGTCATATGTTGCATATTTCATCAGACAGTCTCAGTTCACTACTTGAATCCGATTATAATGACTAGACACTAGAAGTAAACATGTTTTATCAGGCCTTTTGATTTTGTTTAGAACACTTTACAAATTCTGATGTTCACTGTGTACATTTAAATTCAGGTGTCTTTACAATTTTATTCTTCTAATGACAGGAAAGTGGAAAAAGCCTTTTTCTAATCGTAGTACTTCCGTAAAGAGTTTCAAACCATCCAATCAACCTATAATTAAAATATCAATCATGCATATCACTGAGTCGATTGAGTATGGAAAATTTGAACAACTTAATATTCATATGATCAGCAAACCGTTCACGGTAAGCGAGAAAATATTTTGTCAATTTCATTTTGTGCTACAACTGTAAAACCGATTAAATTATGCAGAATATTAAACGCTTACACTAAATTGGATATAGAAGGATGTTTCTGTGATATCTTCTAATGACCTGATAATCTTTAAATCAAATGGTGTGATTTTATTACCCTTCAGAATAAATAGTTGATCACTATCCTGTTTCTATATCAAATGAGTTTATTCAACATAACACATTAGGATACAGTATTATTAACTAGATGCCGTTTGGACACCTATTTATTGCCCATAATCATATCAGTGCATTCACATGACTCAATTACTTGTCTTATATACTTTTACTCAACCTGATTTGTATTACAATCGTCCATATATCCAGTGGAAACATTGAGTCACTTTGATTTCACCTGTTCTGTGTTGATCCCATAAATACAGATTCGGCGATTAACCTCCCCCTCTACCTTCCTGTATTACGTTTAGACACTTTACTCCACGCGCACACACACACACACCCTTAATGTAAGTTAGACCAACAGAACTCATCTAGAATGAAATTACATTCTAGCACAGTGCTTAAATTCTGCTATTCTACTGTCCTTTTCGCTTGCGTAAATCAGCAGTTGGAGCAGAAAAAATCCAACACACTACTAATGAGTTCAATCCCAAACAAGAAAAGTGGCTATCTAGGAACTAAATTACCTTAACATTCTTGAAGAATATCAGTAATTAAAAAAGAATGGCTTACTTTACGAAGGGAACCACAGATATGTCTTATCACATGAACTAAGCATTGGAAAATCCTTATCACCATCGATTGACTTTTAACAAGTGGATATTATGAAGGGCAGCTTTTCAGGTAATCTGCATTAGAAGTTGATCCATTCAAAAAGCTTCTGAAAACTACAAAGTCCATCACAGGTGTCTTTGAATTTATCATGAATTTATCAATTAACTCATTGAAATATGTCCATGTCTAGAGCACAGCTCTCCTCTCTTTCTCTTTCTTTCTCTCTCTCTCTCTCTCTCTTTCTATATATATATATATATATATATATATATATATATATATATATATATATATATACTTTTAATTATTGTGAATACACAGTTATTGGGGTACACTGATAACTGTGCGTGATCTGACGCCATAAGTACTAAACTTTTGGAAAATAATAAAATGAAAGCTCAGGTATAATGGTAAGATTTTTATGGAGACAGTCGAAAATATAAATTTTAGGGAGATTAAAGTGAGTAAGTAGAACGAATTGGTGAGGAAGGAAGAGTTTAACCACTGTTTGTTGAATAATTAGAATTGATGTTGATCTTCTCATAGAAATAATACAAAACCACAGGTCGAAACCTGAGGCAGAGTAAAATACACGATGCATACATGAAAAGATTCATTTTCTGAAAATATATCCGTTATACTATTCTTTCCTTGTGTCACGAGTGGAAAATAGGGCTTTATGCTTGAGGTTTCGGGGTTTCCCGGCTTACAACCAGCTTGGTGAGACTTAGGAGTATGATGGCCGGGAATCAAACCCTGAACCACACATGTTCGGTGAGAATTCTACCGACGAACAAACGATACACTAACTTAAAGATAGGCAATATGTCACCCAGTAGATGTTATGATTTCAAAATCTGCAAGTTTAGAGAACGACTCCCTCTCTGGTTTTAATCCAAGGGACATCTACAAATGACACTGGTCCCTGAAACCTATCCAATCCCTTGGTAAAGATGGTGTGCTTCAAATTATCCTCAGGAAATCAGCTGACATTTTACGTTATACTCTTACGGGTATTTTCAATGAATCTTTCTCCACCAACACTGTGCCTGGTTCCTGGAAGGACATTAAAATTGTCCCTGTGCCTAAATCATCAAATGGACCAAGTGTTTAATTTAAACCTATTGTCATTACTTCACTTTTTTAAAAATAATAGAAAAACTGCTTTTGCCTAACCATGAACCTTCATTGAAAGCTCTTAACGACCCTCATCAATTTGTTTATAAACATAGTAGGTGGACTTTAGATGCTACTGTCGCCTTATATCATGATATTGTCTCTAGTCTAGACAAAGTGCCAAATATGTTCGATGTGCCTTCCTAGATTACATATCTGCCTTCGACTCTGTACCTCGGCAACTTTTGTTAAAGAAGCTTGCTGTGACACAGGTAGGGTGCTGGACTACTAATTGGTTGCATTCCTATTTGTCTGATAGGACGCAGTACACATTTCACAATAGGAAGTCCTCCACTGCTTCACTTACTCTAGCTGGTGTCCCTCAAAGTACTGTTTCTTCTCCTTTTCCGTTTTCTTTTCTCTTACATGCCTTCCCTCATTCAGATTGAGCCAATTTTGTTAGTTATACTGATGATCTGACTGTTTCTATCCCGGTTAATTCTCAGTCATATTGTTCCAAAACGAATAACCTTTCATCAGAAATCAGCTGTTGATGATTCCCAGATGGCATTAGGCATTTCTTCACTATTATTTTTCCCTTGAGTTCTGAGTGGAATATAAGGTTTCAACAACATACCTTCACTTCCCTCTATTTTATCCTCTCCTATTCAGCTGGCCAACGAAGATTGCCCATAATCTCTCATCTCTTCTTCGCAAGATCTTCATGTCACTCTCCCACCGACGACCCACTCGTCGCTTCCCATGGGGATTCCGATCGAGCGATGGCCTGCATTATGTGCAATCTCATTCGACGGCCCCTCAACATATGTCAATCCATCTCCATCTTCTCTATATTTCTGTTGAGTAATCAGCTCTTCGTTGGTTGATTTTTCCCACCCAGAGTTTCTTGTTGCTAATTCTTTCTGACCGGCTGGCCAGTCGATCTTCAATACTAAGTCAGAGAAAACAGCTGTTGATACAACTCTGTAACTGACTGACTTCACATTTGTGTTGACAATCCGAATCTTGTTATTTATCCTGAGGCGGAAGCCAGAAGATTACCAAACTGGTTTCAAACTGATGAAGGCATATCTTACCTTTCCGATTCCGGCTATTTTTGACATCTTCATCATTCCACCCGTGATTCCTAGATAAGTGAAGGAAGTAATCTTTGTTAGATTTTTTTCTCGTTGATAGTGATTGGTGATGGTTGTTGTTGCTGCTGGTTAATTGGTCATCTTTATCACCTCTATCTTCTCTGTGTTCATATGGAGTCCTGTCTTCACTTCTGGCCACCACAGTCATTTTCTCGGTTTTTGTCTATAGATCTTCGAATTAGACATAAATCACCCACGCGCAAAATCCAAATCTTCTAGAGTCTTCTTATTGGTGCTCCAGCCTACTCCTGTCTCCTTGCTCTCACTGCACATTCTGACGCATAATCAAGTCCGCCTCAATTAAGAATATCATCGGTGATAATAGGCAGCAATTCTTGTCTTACTCCTGTATGCACTTCGAACGCCTCACTGACTTTTCCGTTGTGGATCACTTGACATGTGGCACTCTTATATATATATATATATATATATATCATTACTTCTGTACTAGGTAGTTAGAAAATTAAACACAGTAGTGTATACATCCTGAAAATGGCATATTTGTATCATAAGTACTGTTGGAAATAAAGCTCTTATTATTACTATTATTATCATGACGAAGATAAAATACAAACTATAATATTACATATCTATCGCTGAATTATGATGATACATTTTACTCAGCTTCACCAACTCACTGAAGTACACAGTAAACACTTCGACAACAACCAGATTGTTGAACATAATAACATAATGAATTCATTATCAATAGTCGAATCGTTTTAGTTATGTTCTTCCGAATGAAAAAGACTTCATCACCACAGATTATAGTTTTATAAATTGAAATTTTCACGCTATATGAACATTTATTTATAGAACATATTTTGGAAATTTCAGAATACACGATTCACGTTTGTTGTAATCTTACCAACTACACCGGGAAGACTTGAATATCCTGATAAAGTACTGAGAGGAGAAATCGAACTACCAGAATTGATGAAACAACTTCGACCAACTCAAGTAACCCTAGGATTACCACGGTTCAAGTTAGATACATCACTTGATTTAGTTGGAACAATAAAATCAATGGGAGTAACTGATCTATTTGATGCAAAATTAGCAGATTTGAGTGGTAAGTACACTATGTTAAGTGTTGAAGTTGTCATGTTATGTTGAGACATATTTGAGACGTAGAAACGATAGAGAAGATTTGTAGCTCAGGTGGACGACATTAGTTTAACTGTGTCTTGTGAGCTGGATGTCTTAACTGCCGATGTTTCATTATCTTCCAGGACGACATCGTCACAGTCAACTTCAGTATGAAGTTGGCTTTTAGAATTCTGCATCTATGTGACAAACTTCTCTTTAGATAACATTGACAGTGACTGGTTCTCTTTGGAAATTTTCTTACCGTCTACATGTTCCGATATTGATTATATTGTTAAACCCATATTTAACCTCTTTTCTGTACAACTTCTTTTTCACCTCCTGATAAATCTGATCTAGAGTTCTAATGGGAAGTCCTGACCAGGAGAGTTAAATAAGTTGGGGGTTAAAACTCTCCAGTGGCACTGATTGGCAGTTATGCTATAAATCTAAAATCAACAGAAGTTAGAATTCATAGGCGAATGTAGTCTATCCTATCACCTGAATGATAAACCACTCGACTCGTAAGCTGAAGGATCTCACGCCGACCCCATTTGGTCTCATGAATGCGTATCCCTAGAGAGTTCAAACAAGGACGAAACAGGGGCTCACTACTGCCGGGCTTCCATTGGTTCTGTAATTGACGTTAGTATTTGATCTAACTTGAAATCTGATCTATGTCAACTTAATAAAGAAACAAATATGTTATCAAAGAGATCTCGTTTCGCGACTTCACTTCAAAGCTGCACAGTCATTTCAGGAATTACACATATACTATTAATTGACAATAGAGTTCACAGGTTATTGTGCATCAGTCATAGAAATATTTCAAAACTTATCATGTCTTTTGATAGCTGGCTTATACTCGTGGATGAAAAGGTGAAAGACACTTTGACCAATATAGTATTTGCAGTGTACTCATTCATGAATAATTTGTTGATAAGTAATCTCTCTCAAACACACTTTTTTATCAAATGGACTAAAATCCACACAGAACGCTCAGTTTTCAACTTCGTTTAATGACTATTTCACATTTCTTGTTTCATTTTAGGAATAACGAAGGCCAAGATTTCCGCTGATGTTCTTAAACAAAGTGCATCTATTAAAGTTAATGAAGAGGGTGTAGAAGCTGCAGCTGCGACCGTGATAAGCATTTCATTGACCAGTGTAAGAAATCAAAAGCCTATTCCATTCAATGTCAATGAATCATTTGTTTGCTTTATTTACGATAAAGTATTAAACACACCACTATTTGCTGGTCGTGTGATTACGCCAGTATCATTGAAGGATTGAGAAATGAAAACAAAAGAAGATTCCTATCCAGTTAAAAAGAAACTGTCAGCAAAATTCAATTTAATTCTCTGTGTAACTCTAGAAATATAACATGTTTAAAGTTGAAATATATCAAAACTCAAAGAATGGTTTGCACAACTCTGTTCATATTTTAGGATTTCCATGGCATATCTCATTCACGTTTTGTTGATAAAAATACAGTTGATTACCCCCAAATGCATGCAGAAAGATCTGTTCAGTGTTTTTTAAATCCTTTCATCTTCTGAAATTAACCAAACGTTGTCATGTTAAAGAAGGTATTCACTATCTATGCGTAAGTATTCGTGACCAAGTGGCTGAAAATGTAAATTTTAGAAATTTACTAGATTCATGAAGGGGCATTTTTAATCAGCATATAGATAAGAAAACAAAGTTTATCCGGATGTCAACACATTCAGGCCTTTCTTTGTATGCTGAATATGAGGCTGAGTTTTAGCAAGAGTGAATCTGATTCGAGTGCAATGATAAAATAACAGTATCTTTTCAGGGACAATTTGATTTCTTCAAACGAAGTGTAGATAGATTTCATCCTCATGGAATAGTCTATACAAGACGGTTGAAAACACCATGTGATATAAATTATAAACACATTACTCTGCAAGAACATTCGTTTTCTAACTTTACTTCAAAGCTGTAGACCTAGATAGTGTTCTGAAAGGTCAGGGAAATGCCTATAATGGTCGACTGTTCATATCACTTGGTGACAGAACATATGAAGTTATATCTCAAGAAAAATAACAAATTTTATAATCTATGAGCATTAAGTAATGAACATCGCTCAGGAATGATAACCATTAAAATTACAAGCAGTTGGAAACAGAAATACTGTTTAAAAAGGTGAGAGATTCGAATATTTTTATAAGGTATATTCTGAAATTAGGAGTTTGGAAGGAGAGAATGAGGGAATGAGATATAGTAAATTAATAAGGATTACACAACAAATAATTGAACGAGTTAAGTAAAGGCAAAGTTTAAAGCCCCGAAAGTAAAAGGGATTGGATAAACCATTTCAGCCCACATTTTCTACTATAGATCTCTTGAGCAGTCAACTCTTGGGTGGTAAGAATGTTCCCAGCCAGAGTTTCTTCTTAATAATTCTTTCTGACCGCCTGTCAATTTAATCTTCATTATAGAGCCAGAGAAGACAGCTGTTGATAAAAGTTTGAAGAAGCCTATTGGAAATCCTTTTCGTGATACGCCGGTCAAGTCTCTCACCCTTATAGTTACACTGACTAACTTCACATTTGTGTTGAAAATACGAATCTTGTTGTTTATGCTGAGGCGGAGTCCAGAAGATTTCCAAACTGATTTCAGGTTGATGAAGGCGCATCTTGCCTTTCCGATCCTACCTGGCTTGTCATTTTCATGCATGCTGTTCCCTGTGGTTGAAACCGTCCTTCCGACCAGATAAGTGAAGGAACTGACCGCATTCAAGTTTCTCCTGTTGATGGTCACTTGTGTTGATTGTTATTGGAGGTGGGTCGGGTATACCTTGAAGAAGCTGTCGAATGACATCGCGCAAAAATCAGGCCATCACTCGAGTAGAATCTCAATAGGAAGCGACGAGTGTGTCGACGGTGCGAGGGTGACATTGAGGAGATCGTGTGGCAAGAAGGAGACAAGAGATTATGGGCAATCGTGGATTCACCTGAAGAGGAGAGCAGAAAATAGAAGACAGTGGAGATGTGTTGTTGGATCACTATGTTCCCCTCAGAACCTAAGGGAAGAATAATAATTATCTAGATATTTCAGAGTCAGCCGTCTCTGGTGTTGTCATTCACGATGAAATGGACGTCCATGAACTCATATGTTTTACGCTGTGACTATGCTAGTATTGGTTCGTTTGAAAGGACGAAAGTCAGTGGTCAGTTTAGTGAGGATAAGTCAACTGTGTATGAGAGAGTAATTGTTTAACTGACTTGCATGAATGAAGGCCTTTCAGGTTTCAATTTACTATTTGAATATTATTATCTTTTATGTGCCTTCGTTTAGTTGGTCAGATACATCGTATGTTTGTTAGATATCTATATTCCACGATATAATGTCATGAGCGTGTCACCATTCAGAATTGAGGATAAAGATGACAGAAGGAGGTCAGCAAATGAACTCTGCCACGATTTCTCAACTCACGGCGTCAACCTGAGAAGTACTGTAGGCATATTGCTGGAATTCCTACAATTCTTCTTCGGTAGTACATCGGTGCGCAGTCCATCGTACTTAGTGTGTTGTTTTGTACATATGTTCATGTTGTACATATTGATTTGGTATCTTCTCTCATTATTTGTCGGTTAATTTTGTTTGTGTCTGGACCCTTTTCTACTTGGATCGTCAATGTGATAAGGAATGTAGGCTTACTGCTGTAAGTCCTACAATTCTTCAAGAGTAGTTCGTCAAGGCAGAATCCACAACAATTGATCTATTGATTGTACATATATTCGTGTTAAGTAACTGAGTTAGTTCCAGTTCATCTCATTGTTGGTTAATTTTATAGTTGTCGCATTGTGGAATCATCTCCTAATGTTATTGTAAGTACTTCTGAAGTCGTTTCAAGTCTTCTACAATTGTGAACGAATCGAGTGGTATTAGAGTCAGTGTACGAGATTCGATACGCCGAGGAGGGGATTGTGGTGGAGTGACATGAAGCAACCAACACACCGAGGATCAGATCAGTGACGGTACCGTCGACAGAGAGCGAATGGAGTTCCGATCACTGAGTGACATTCCACACACCGGGGAGACGCACTGGCGTGGTGTAGTGTGCTTGTTGTGTGTTGGGCTTTTTTGTCTTGCATTTCCATTTTAGGCTAGTCCCGGTTGACCCAGGTTCCCGCGTTGGCAGTTCACTTCAAGGTTATCGGCGATATGAAAAAGAGGGATGGACCCCTTTTTTCCAGGGGAGTGTAAAGGAATGTGAACATTGAACGTTGGTTCATTGATCTTGTAAGCCATTGGCGGGCAACTCGAAAGCGCGGATGGTTCAGTCGTGTACAAGTTGGAAGAGGACGTAATAATACGAATAAAAATACATTATATTTATTGTAAAACATTGATTTACAGATTTTGTACTAATCTTGATTTCAGTTGCCAAACAATACAACTTCTTTCTTACAAGTACTGGTGTTTTGTAGTTAAAGTTGAGAAACAGTCACAGTAATTATCGGTTCGTAGCGTCTTCGCAAATCATCGGAACTTAGGGTTGAGTTCCTTAACAAGATACTTCTTCTTAGTTAATGACTCTTCAGGACTTCTCAGACAACGCGGTACTACCTTGTTATATATACTGCAACAACTGCTTATCATTTTGTTGTGGCAGAACATACACTTCAGCAGTTTGTACTACTCCACCACTTCACTGAAAACTGTGAAAGTACGGAAAACTAGCAGTATAGTTGTTCCTCAATATTATTGATTTTTTTGTTGATAAATAGAATTGGTATATTGTGAGATCTGTCTGCTAGCCAAAATCGGTACACAGAAATTTACATAAATGTTTGCGTCCTCAATATCCGTCATGTGAAAACAAGAACAAAGACTGTCTCAACAACCAATCATAGAAGACTTTTCGTCGGCGGATACAATTATCAGATAGATGATCTCCCCTTCAAGAAACAGCCACAAAGAGATGAAAGATTAACTTTCAGTGAGAAACCACCGATCAGAAGACTATTTTTGTCTGCTTACAATTATCTATAATAATGTACATGGAAATCTATAAATATGTGTTGATTTCTGCGCATTTCGTCCTATTTGGGACTCGTCACTGGATGTACCTGCATTCTCAGTGAGTGATGATGTTCCCACCGAGGCTCGAACCCAGTACCCATAGTTTCAAACGCCAAAGCGTTATCCACTAGACCACTTGGGCCACGAGAGCCACCTCTTGTGCAACGGGTCATATTAATTATTGAATTGAATTCTTGATTTTCCCGTCGATTGATTGGACCGAGTGGTCTAGTGGATAACGCTTTGGCGTTTGAAACTATGGGTACTGGGTTCGAGCCTCGGTGGGAACATCATCACTCACTGAGAAATGCAGGTACATCCAGCTGACGAGTCCCAAATAGGACGAAATGCGCATCCTGGATTCCACTGCTAGCCACCATCCACCAATTGTATACTAACTAAATGCCCGGACATCGTCGAAGCATCTGCACAAGAAGCCAACATGTCAACCTGAGACCGAGCACTTCGGTCCAATCAATCGACGGGAAAATCAAGAATTCAATTCAATAATGTGTTGATTTCCTTAATAAACGATCTGATGACTGACTCGCGCCTTCTGTTGTTATAGTCAGAGCAGTCCCTTGGATCATTCACATTCTGATAAATTTGGTAAATAAAATAATAGTGTAGTTAGGTGTGAGTTGTCAGTATAAGTTTGAAGAGGGAATTACAAATTTCAGTTAACTTTGAGAGAAGGTCAACCTACTGAATAAATTATTCCGTTGGAGGATTTCATCATGAGCTGACATCAGTTAGAGGACCACTGGAAAACCTGCAGGGAGTACTGGATAGCCCTTTTGTCAGTCTAGTTTGGGACTGGTTCTCCAGAAGTACGCACCCAACACAAGGGGTCGATCTCAGGAACTTCTGGTTACAAGGTGAGCTCGTGGACCATTGAGCCACTGGGACACCCAAACTGCGACGAAACAACTATCCAGTGCTCCAGGTTTTCCAATGGTTCTCTAACTGATGTCAGCTTATAATGGAATCCTCCAACCAATCAAACAAAATCCTCACAGTAACCATACTTGTCTACTTTGATGTTAAACAAATGACAAGATCCAGTTAAAATCTGTCAAAGATTACTTAGAGTCAATGCAGTCGTTGCAGAAACAGCAAAATGTTATGTTCATTTGGAACACTAGTGGATCAAATCAGCTTACCTTTACCTAACCGACTTATTTTGTGTAGAAGAGAGTCATGGTGAACTGTGTCAAATACCTTCTTAAAGTCTAGGA